TGAATCACAGAGACAATGTTCAGCTCAGTGCTACAGGACATTTCAACATTCCCACATTCATATAAATTCAAAGTTGTGTAAATGTCTTCAGATGGCAGCTGCTGTGTTAGAAACATAATCTACTCTGTTCCACTGAGGATTCACAGACGAGTTTTTTGCGGGAGCACTGCACACTCACTGTGTTATTCATCATAAACAGATTAAAGACATAAACTCTGCGTGCTGGCACAACCAAGTGAGAAGGATTGCCTGCCTGTAGAAAAAGCAGTAATCAACATGCCTTGGAAATGGGTCAGAAGACTTGCTGGCAACAGCAGTCATCATTAACAAAAAATTGACCCAGATTTCTTTTTTTTAAACTCACTAAAGACAAACCTTTGTAGGGATTTGGGGGATTTTCAAACATCGTCCGAACACCAAAGAATTCCCAGAGGAGAAACTCTTTGTCCGTGACAGTGAAGGATAAGGTGAACACAGTTGAGAAAGGTTGATGGGGATCAGGTGGAACGATGATTCATATTCCTGACACTAGAATGTCAGGTGTTGAAACTTGAAGTGAAATTGGTTCTGTAGTAACACCTAAAATGTTTCTTTTTCAATATGTTGACCAAATACAGAATCAGAGGTAACTAAATGAAGAGCAAATGTATTATGTTCAAATTTAATTCAAGACCCTCAAAAGGTTTTAATAGCTCTTTCCTTGAGGGGGAGCTACATGCTACAAGCTGTATGTGAAAATGTTAGCACCAAATGTCAGCATCTTCTACGCTAAAGTGACTGCAACCGGCAGGATATGGAGTGATTACCAATACTTAAGTTGACTGCAGTGTGAAAATGCTTTGAGTGCATGTCAAGGAGAGGTGAGTAGGGCTGTCTATGCCCTCTAGTGGCAAATACAGTAAGTCACGTTTGAACATTAATTAAGTCAAAAGCAGTCCATTGCAGTGGCTTTAAATTGTGACATTGAATATTTTTAATAATAAAGTATGCCCACAGATGTTGGCACAAACATTCATTAAAAACTGACATATGTAGTTGGATATGACCTTTGAACCTTCATTTGCCAGGCAACAGGAGAAATAAAAGACTGGTTTGTATTTTCATTATTTAGGAGAGTGGGGACACTATTTGTTACAGTTCTGCATGTTGATTTTGTCTCTGCTTCTTTAATACAAGTTTAGCTGCTTAACATTAACCCTAACCCTTGTCTGAATTATCTGGAAGTGGTACGTAATACCATAGACTCTGGTTGCTGGGCAGCATTAAGTTGCCTTTTGCTCTTTAAATGTCATCAAGTCATTTGTTGTTGCCTTAAATGCATGTTTAAAACCACATTAACCAGGCCCACAATTCCTGTGGAATATCTTAGAATAAACTGTGTCTTTTAGTCACTGGCACAAGGTAATTGTTGCACTCTGTGGAATTATGAGCAGCTAATGAGGTTAAATGCCCCCACCAGGGGCACAATGCTGCAGAGCTGGAACCAAAACCTCCAACCATCTGGATGGAAAGTGACCCTTCCTGCACAACGATTAATAACATTACCGCAAATAAAGACAGAAAAATTAATAGATGTAAATGTGAGTAGATTAATGCATGCATAGACTTCTGGGTAAAAGTAGAGCTACTGTGCCAACACAATTTTCTCTCAGTAGGTATTAGTGCTGTAGCCTTATGTCTCAGAAGCACAAGATGGAAAAATGAGAAATGCATAAATCCTGCTATAGTTTCGTGGAGCTATAGAAAAAAAAGCCAGATCACACTCAGTCAGATGTCACTGCTGTCAATCAACGTCCCTCCCACAACCAGGGCATTGAAAATAAAAATACAGCCCAGTAGCTGATGAAATAGTGTGACCTCAATTTCAATTCACATTGCAATAGTATGGCAGGCAATTTAACCAGGACGGTGTTTCCTCAAAAAAAATAAAAAATAAACAGAGATAGACAAAAACGAACACACAAACAGATACACGTATATATATAAGGTTTGTGTACAGTGGCGAATGAACGCCCGCCTTTGTCAGTCGGAGCAAAAATAAATAGAACAACTCTGGGCTGAATGTCCCTTGGAGCACAAAGCAGTGTAATTATTCTGTTACACCCTGGTCTCATCTCTAATACTTGGAGGCAGTTCATGCATAAATAAATGAAAGAGATAAAGCATCTGCTCACACTGTAACAATGAACTACTATATATATATATATATATATATATATATATATATATATATTCTCCAGGTGGTTATGTATTTTATGTTTCAGAATAGTTTAACTGGTTCTCAAACAATGGTACACCAACCACTAATGGAGCCTGGGCTCCAACTAGTGGCATAGTAAGGAGTCTCTCATTGATTTCTCTCTCTCTCTCTCTCTCTCTATCCAACTCACGCACACATAATTGTACTTTGTACTTTTTCTACTTTTTTACACTGACCTCATACAGGTACGACCAGGTGCAAGTGTTTTTTAATCAATGTTCATTCATCATTCACCCTTTCCCTAATCCCAGCAGTCATTGGGTGAGGACATGGTCCACACTCTGACCTCCGGTCAATTTGGAGTTTGAATTACTATGGGGTGACAGGTCTGAGTTACACTGCAGTTGAGAAGGCCAAACTTGACTCTCTAAGTGTTCTAAGTATTTGGAATCATAGGTGTAATTTCTTCAGATGACTGTGCTTTTCAAATTCTTCTTTGTTAAGTCAACAATGTCTGCCTGCTGTTCCAATTTTCACCAGATGGACTCTTACTCTGTTGCTGTCTCCAAATCAATCCTTCATTTTGAGCAATTTGAAGGAGTTTTACGGCTGAAACATTGAGGAAGAAGACCAGGTGTTTCTGAGAGGCTCATTACTGGTTCAGTTCTGTTCTAGTCACCGAGAGAGTGTGACAGTGAGCCAGCAGGCACCATCAGCCCAGAATGCTTGATGGGACTCAGCCATATTTAATAAATTACACTGTCCTCGTCCAGCTGTGGATATCCAAATGTCTGTTGTGGGAAAAAATACACAGAATTTCTTCACAAGAAAATGTGAGGAAGACAGATCACTCTCAGCATGTCCATTCATCAGGGATCCCTGCAGCAATAGTCTGCATAGTGATTTGACACAGATTTATACCAGGAGCCGTTACCGATGCCACACTACCCACTAGGGTCGGGCGTTAGGAGGATGAAGGATGTTGTTTGGAACTTGGAACTTGCTGAGTTTTGCTAATATCACTGTCTAAAACAGAGTTCAAGTGTAGAGCAAAAATCATGGTAAGAATTTAGAATTGTTCCTTAGATATTAGGAAACAGGAGGAAAGGATTGTTTTGACAAATGCACACAAACAGATTGACCTGGAGATATCTTGAAATCACTTTGTGACAAAAGCTACTAGGAACAACCACCAACCAACTTCCTGTTGGTAATGATTTGTGGTGGATTTGTCAAGCATCTAGTATCCATTATCTTCTTCTCTCTGTCTTACAAACACACACACGCACGAGAAGTGATCCATGCACCAGGACACACAGAGAGTGCTCTACCAGAGCAGGGTGTTTTCACCACCACAACAAAAAGTGATGAAAGTGAACTGTATCTGGGTAATACATAAAAAACAAAACAAAAAAACAATCATGTACAGTACGTACGGTTGGGGAATCTAAGATACTGTATATATGGTGAGCATTTAATTAATGTAGGATACCTCATTTAGACACAGGAGGGCACTGTTGTTGTTGTTGTTGTT